GTGTTGATACCCTGAGGAGATAGCCCAAGCTGTGGCACTGGGGCCTGTATGGATGGGACAGGACGTAAAGAATATCCTCTACGTTGCTGCTGGAGAGGAAGGTCCCACTTGGAGTCTGTGGCAAAGAGCCTCAGGAGAGACTTAAGGCTGACCCCCTGGGGTTCTGGAGTCGAGCATACAGGGGATCTGCCTTATGGGGGTGGTTACAGCATTGGCAACAAAACAGCTGGCAAAAAAGGGGTAAACCTATTTGGGCTGCTGAACTGTGAAAAGACAGTTGCCTGAATAAAGGATATGGTTGTAAAGGTGCATTGTGTAAATGCTCGTGTTGAGCTACTGAAGAAAACCAAAATAACCAATGACATAAAGCTGCCAAAATTGAGGTGGTTCAAATGGACTTGAACTGGCAAAAAAGGGTGAATTATTTCTGGCTTGGTGGGCCCATGAAGGAAGAGATGCAACATGTAAAGGAGCTAGAGACCAAGGGGTGGACTTAACCTGCACAGTAGCATCCATAGTTATCCATGACTGTGGCATATGTGCCACAATTAAGCCAAGAGAATGAAATCTCTCTGGGGGAAGGGCGATGGCAAAAGAATAAATACGGGGAGGCATGGCAGGTTGATTACATCACCTTGCTGCAAACTCACGATGGTAAGCATTATGTACTTACTGTGAAGGCAACAACTGGGTGTCTTGAAACATATGCAGTACCCCATTCTACTGCCCAAAACACCATATTAGGTCTGGAGAAGAAGTCCTATGGTGATGTGGCACTCCAGAAAGAATTGAGTCAGGGAATGGGACCCATTTCAAAAACTCCCTTGTAAAAACTTGGGCCTTGATGGATTGATCGTATTCCCTCACATGCACCAGTCTCTGGTGAAATCAAATGGTACAATGTATTGTTAAAGCTATGTTCAAAGCAATGGGTGGCAGAATATTTAAGCATTGGAAGCAGCATTTGGCAGAAGCCACCTGGTTGGACCATACTTGTGAATCTATCAGTCACAATGGTTATACCCAATCCAGCTCCTTACATAATGTACGGGGAGATTACTTCACTGTAGTACCTGTAAAGGACATGTTGGGAAACATGGTTTGGGTCTTTCCAGCTTCTGGAAAGGGCAAACCTCTTCGTGGAACTGTTTTTGCCCAGGGACCTGCATTCACTTGGTGGGTAATGCAGAAGTATGGGGATGGTCAGTGTATATCACAAAGTATATTACTACAAAAAATTAAGAGAGTAAATGAAACTTTTAGTCAGAGGAAAGCATTCCAATTCATTACTCCATCACAACATTGTTTATTGGAGGTGTCACAGAACAACAACTAAGACATTTATGTTCAGAATGAACTTGAGCTTTAAATATATAAAAGGTCTATAGGTGGTGGTTTAAGAGGTATCTTTCCTAGTGTGAACCTTTTGGCTTCAAACTGTTCCAACTCTTCAGCTGTTAATTCACTCCTTGGTGTATATAACTTGTCTGATGTGATACCATTTAGGACTGCAGAAGGCACGGCTGTGACGTTATGTCCAGAGGCACTGGCAGTCTGTGCAGCCGAAGTATTGCTTGCACCTGAGTGAGAAGTTCCTGTTGCTGCACTGGGGGTTCCAGAAACTGTAAGTGGAGCGGTGCTTGAAGAGCTTGCAGCAGCAGAATTTCCAAAGCCTGAGAGTCCAGAAGTTCCAGAGCCACTGGTTGTTCCAGAAGTTTTAAATGAGAAGGAGGCTGCAGATGGAGCTGAAGAATTGCCAAACCCAACAGGATTGGGAGCACTGTGGGAGGACGTCGCACCAAATGTAGGAGGATTGGAGGCAGTAGCAGAGCTCCCAAAAGCTGGAGCGTTTCCAGATGGAACAGTGGGATTTGCTTTAAAGGAGAAACTGGTTGCACCGCTGCTGCTGTTCACTGGAAAGCCTGCAATTATGAAATGTATAAGGACGGTCAGAATGGGTACACCTGTGAGACTGAAACACTGCTGCATTTCAGTACTGCAGAAGAGTATACGTTTATAATGGGTACACCCGTGATACTGAAACACTGCTGCATTTCAAAAACACAGAAGAATATTTAAAAATATCTGTTTAAGTGCTGGTTGTTTTTGCAGAAACTTACTTGGAAAACCAAAGCTTGAGGCTTGCTGTCCTCCAAATCCAAGAGAAGGTAACGGTTGAGTGACCGCATTCTTTAACTGAGATAGCTTAAAAAATTCCAAATACATAAATGAAAACTACATTCCAACACACGTAAGTATCTTTCAATCAATGCTTAACAGGAAAATGTATGTGCACCATCCAATTTAACATTACTCAGACAAAGTCAATTAGACACTGATCACAAGCTATTGCAGCTATAAAGAAAATGCTCTCAGGCTATTCTCTGTCAAACACCCTAGAAGCATAAATCTGCTGACTGACAGGCAAAAAGTAATTGTAATCACCAAAATCTCCTGGAGCTCTTATTCTCATCTCAGTCTGCTCTCTGAGCATTGCACAACAAATGTCTGTGCTGAAGTCTGAACCCCACCTTTTTAGCTTCAGAACTGAACAGAACAAGGGGTCCAAATCACATTACAGAAACTTCAGTGCACTTCACACAGCCGTCACCTAAATCGACTTACGCCATCTCCCTGATCACTAAATATTGGCTTGAATTGTTCTGCTGAGAATCCTCTTCTGACACACCTGATTCACAATTGTTATATGACCAAGACACAAACTGAAAGTATTCAGGTATGGAAACAGGTATTTCCATGCAGCTTACAATGATAATTTTCCAAAATTGAGATCCAGCTACTGCCTTGCTATCTTGGAATCACCCTGATTCACTCCCTTCCTTAGTTAACTAATGAGGTTCATTTATAATACAATTTGCAAACAACTCGTTGATTTCATGATTCTAGAGAAAGGTAGATTGAAGAACCTAAGCTGTGTTCACAGACTTCCATGTTCATCTGACTTGCACAGTGCTCAAGTATTCACTCAAACTCTTCTATCACCTATAAAAACACACAGAAGTAGGGACAGTGCAGATTTCAAACTGCAATTACTTCCTTATGTAATTCCTCCTTCTAACTTTCCCGTTTCTTTAATGCTCCCAGGAGCACTGTAAGATTACTCTCAAGATCTTCATGCCGCCGGTCAGCCAGACCCTTTCATGCCAGATGTTTTCTCGTGGCAGCAGTGCCAGAATAAGACACATCATGGTTGACACTCTCAGAACAGTTCGTGTATCTACCATTAGAACTGCCAACTAATGTAGGAATGAAACATTCTCAAGCCTTGGGTGTTAAGGCACAAACAAGGATGCACTATCACGTGTATCTGGTAGTAAGTCTGTGTCCTAAGATGTTCAAAGCAATACCTATCACCTACTTTAGTAGTAAGAGTGCAGGAAAATCCTTTGATAATAGCAGCAGTATCTATGGAAAATTTGCAAGATGTCTTTGTTAAAAACAAGGTTCCATATTACAGCTATCGTGCCTTAGAAATTGTTTCATTAACAGCCTTTCAAATAGAAACCAATGTTGGTGTAAGCAAGACAGTTTAATGGGCTCTGACTAAAAAACTGAGAATTGTAAGAAAAACCTCCACTCAAGATTTAAGAGAAAAGCAGTATCAGGAACAGAAATATTTTACCTTTCCTTAACACTTACCAAAGATGCTTTTCCTGAGGCATCCAGAGCCTTCAGCTCCTGCAGCCTGTTTTTCCATTGTTGCACTAACTGATTGACAGAGTTTATCTAAACATGGGAAAACACAAACATGCTTTTATTAAGTGTTATAAAAAACAAACAAACAAAAAAAACAACAGAACTAGTAAGATAAAAAAGAACTAGTAAGATTTAAAAAATTTCCTGAAGCTTTCTAAATTGAGGCTCTATCAACTATCTGAATAGGGTGCTTGCAAAAGAATACAAAATACTCAAGTCTGAAACGTGAAAGACGAAGCTTTTCTGTTCTTGTTTTATTTCTGGCCCATCCATATATGCACTCAATCCCTAAGCTCATGCCCTAAGTTTGTCTCAGCTTCTATCACATCTTCAAAGAAACAACAGCCATTTTCAAAACAGAACACTTCCAAATATTTTAGCAGTATCACCCTAAAATCTTTAGCTTTGCAGAAATGAGCTTGCTTAATTAAAATCAGTCCCTTTAAAGCAAACCAACAAACTGCTGCACAAAACGTATGCAGCAATAAATAGTAACTGTGCCTTGATAACTATGATTGAAGTGCTACGTAAGAAAAGTGATTAATATTTTTCAGAAATTTCCAAACTGAATGTGCCACACTTAAATTTACAAAAACACCACCACTGAAGCTCAGCCTAGCTAAATTTTCCTGGGGAAAAAAAAAAAGTCAACTCTTGTTCCAAATGCCTTTAAGAGCAAAGTGCTGAGTATTTGTATTACTGGATTTCTTAATTTTTCCAAGAGGATCTTGCACCACAAACATCAATAATTCTTTGTGTCTAGTCACATGCGAAGAGATCATGTTGTTTGCTATCAGCTCTTATAAAACAGACTGGAAAATACAGGTTTTGCCCCATATTATGGGCAGAAACTTATGCTCTGGATAATACGTTTTGTACCTGCATAATTTGTGAGGCCTGTGTCATGCAGTTATCAGAAAGAAGAAGGTAGAATCATAGACCTGTTTGAGTCGGAAGGGACTTTTAAAGCCATCTGACCCAAATCCCCTGCAATGAACAGGGACACCTACACCCAGATCAGGCTGCTCAGTTATGACAAAACATTCAGGCCAGCATGTCTACCTACCTTGAATGCATCCACATAAAAGGTAAGTTTTAAATACTTACGTAGTTCTCAGTGTTGTTGTTTGCACTGCAGTTGTAATACTCCAGACGCACCTCCTCAGGTGAGAACTCTTGAAAACCTGCAGGGAGGCAAACAATCAACATGCTCCAAAGGAAATACAACAAAGATACAAAATTGCCTTCCACAGTTATACAAGAAACTGCCCTTGCTACACTACCTGTGACAAGCCAGTTCTAGCTGGAGACACAAAAAGGATTCCTGGTGCAATTTTGAAGGTGCAAACACACAAATACCATAATCCAATGCCCCTACCTGTTGCATCACAAAGCAAGTCATCACCTTGCAAGTGGTTCCACTGAGGCACAGCAGTGTGGACAAGTGTAGAAATACATTCTAAACAGTAGCAGCGCTCAGCAACGCTAAAAACGTTACCTACCTGAAACATTAGGCTTATCTTTCATAGGTGAGTAACACGAAAACATCCACTGTCTAGAAGATTCCCAGGTTGCCATGTCCTTTGCTATACAGTCACTAGAAAACAAAACGTAACAACAAAAGAAGAAATTACACAGTCAGAAGCCAAACCGTGAAAAGCAAAGTCAAACTCAAATAGCCAAAGCCATTCAAATTAATTCCATAGGATGCTGCTCAGAGGTAACAAATGAGGTATTCAGTTATCTGTGAAAGACATGACAGTCACTCTGTTGGACACACAGATTCCCTACAAAGCATTTTACCGTATCATCTAACTGCAAGTAAATCACATCAGGTCTTTAAGAGAAACAAAACCACACAAGGCATTTTTAATCCCTGGGCAGCATACACTGTCACAGGTTTTTCCCTGAAGCTGTTTGACCACAATAAAATTGAAAACCTTCTCAGTACCAGCTAATTTTACAGTACGAATGAACACGTGTGGCATTAAAAAGCAAAACTCAGTAAAGGGGAGTGGAGATGAGAAGAGTTCTATGTTTTTTTCTTCTATTTTGCTAAACAACCAAGAGCACTGAAATCCAAACTTGGCAAAAACACAACAACAGAAGCTACAGCAAAAGAACAAAATCCGTACGGTTAAATTGGAGGTTAAAGAGTAGAAGCAGGTTATTAAATACTAATTGCAAGTATTTCAGATGTTTGCAATACTGCATACATTTACATTTCAGAAGCCAGGTAAATAATTTATTAAACATTTTCTTAACATAATCATAAAAAGTAACCGCAGGTGCTAGTGCTGCTCATTTTGCTGGTTCCAAAACTCTATTTCTGCAGGAAATCACACTGCTTGTTGCATCTCACCACACACCTGGTAACGGGTGCGAACATGCTGGTCACTTTCAACTGGGTCTGAAACCAGGTCTCATTAGATTTGAGGTAGGTAAAATAATTTGTTGTCTTTAATATCAGGGAAACGAAGCCAACTAACAGCTTAAATTTTAAAAGGCTGAGATGCCATTTAAAGTGCTTTGAGCCTTTAATTTCAAACACTGAAATCTTAGCTTCTCCTTCATTACACTCCTGTGGGCAACTTAAACACCATACTGTCTTCCTGGGATCACAGCTGTCCGGCTGCCTTACCCAGCCTCAAAGCAAAGACTGCTTTCTTCCTGCATCACTGGATCTCAAGATAATTAAATGAAGCAGTTTTTCCTACGGTTCTCCCCACACGTCCCAGCTTCCATCCCCCAGAACACGTCCTCTCCATTATCCAGAGGAAGACAGTAGGCAGTTAAACAACTCATCGCAAGCGCTTTCCGGGGGACAGGGTCATCACTTACAGAAGTCTCTGTTCTTCATCACTGAAGCCATCACCAGGGTTTGCACCGCTCAACGCAGAGAATCTGTTCTGTGAGAAGACCGTGCTTTTGTTGCTCGGTGATCCAAAACCGGAGGCGCCAGAGAATCCTCCTCCGTCACTGCCGCCACCCCACGAGCCGTGCTTAAATACAGGAGGCTGGATAACGTTCGCGTATCTCTGGGTAGCGGCACCCCATCCTCCTCCGGCTCCTCTGGCGGGACCCGCTAAGGAAGAAGAAAGGACGCAAAGCGTTTCAGACGGGACGCGACCGGCACAACGCCGACGAAGTCACCCCGGCGCGTCTGAACCGCAGCCCGTCGCGCAGCCCCGCCACGGCGTCCCGCGCCCGCAGCGGCCGGCCGGCCGGGACGCAGGACGCGCACGCGGGGGTCCCGTCCGGGCGGGCAGCGCGTGCGGCAGCGGCCGTGCCGCTCGGCGGAGGAGCCCGAGGCGCTTCCAGACGGCGGGTCGGCGCGGACACGCCTCCCGTCCGGCGGCCGCAACGCCGTGCCGCGGTCGGCTCGGTGCCGCCTCTCGGCGCTTCTGCGGCGCTCGGGAGCCGCTCTCGAGTTACGGCCGGAAGGCACGAGGCGCGGGTGCCGGACACGCGCTCCCAGAAGCGGCACTTCGCGAACGACCGCCTCACCTCGCAGCCCGGGCGACTTCTCCGCAGCTTTCCTTTCCCTCCCTTTCTCCCTCCCTCCCTCCGTGCCCGGCTCCCCGCCGCCCGCTACCTGAGTGGGGGCGGCCCCCGCCGCCGCGGGGATGCTCGTTCCAGCACCTGTCGCCGAAGCGGCAGCGACCCTGCAGGAAGAACTGACAGATGGTCATGGCTGTGCGCGCGCGCGCCGCCGCCTCCGCCAACCGCCGCCGCCAACCGCCGCCGCCGTGACGTCAGAGGGGAGCGCCGAGCAGCGGGCGGGGCCGAGCGGAATGCACGCGCGTGGCCCCGCCCCCCGAGCGCCGCGCGGCTCCGCCCGCGCCGGACGCCGCCGAGCCGCCGCCGGTAGCCGGCCTCGACGTAGGCGCCGCTACCCCGAGCCGAGGTTCGCCGGTACGGATCTCCGATAGGCAAGGAGCGGAGGCCGGGCAGAACTTCCAGTACGGCCACGGAGCTCAGGTACCGATTTCAACACGGCGCGGGCCCGCAGAAAGCCGTAAGGCGAGGAGAAAAAGAACAGCGCAGGGCCCCTGGCCGAATGAGGAAACGCGCGCAGCATCGCCGCCCACAGCCTGACAAGTTTACTTTACGCTGGAAGAACCACTGTCGTCACATTTAATGTCGTGTTCGCTGCAAACTTTTACAGTGCAACTGCTTATAAACACCAGAGCAATAATCATGTGCAACTTCAGAAGACTTCTATAAAATAACTTTAATGACTTGGTTCATGCCATTTTAAAAACAGCCATTTTCAAGAAGAAAAATCAGTATGTTTCTGGTACTGGCTTTGCTTTCCTATTCTTATTCCCATCTTTGCTAACCAGAGATGTACTCTGGCATCCACAGTACATCCAGTCGTTGGCCTGGGAGGGCCAAGTTCCCAACTTGCTTATACAGTCTACAATTACTGCAGACCTTCTCCACCCATCTCCAACTACTGAGAAAGTCTTTTTATGAAAGCTTTCCAAAATGCCAAAGATGATATTAAGCCAAGTATTCCTCAGATCTGTGTATACATTTATGTATGGTCTGTCTGACTTGAAATTCAATATGCAGTCACCCAGATGAAGATGAAAATCACTGGCACAAGACAGCTGCATACTCTTATCACTACAGGAATCAAACAGCTGTTCTTGGTCTTTCCTGAGCAAAATCATCACGGCGTCCAAATAAGATTTTTGCAGGTATGTATAAATGAGAAAAGTTTGTGTTCCTAATGATGCAAGATATATTTACTCACCTTTATCAAATGAAGAAATATGTTTGGGTGTCATTTAACCACAAATGTTATCTTTATCAAATGGTTTGAGCTCTTCTAAATAACTGGGTTGGGTCTATTTTTTTTTTTGACAAGGCCACACACAGAGTCCTTTTAAAGGAAGATGAGATGTGTTCAGGTAGGTACGTGAATTCCCAAAGCACATCCCCATCTCAAAACAGACAATAAAATGGGCATCACAAAAATCCATGTTATACAATAAGACTGCATTTCAGTTTTTCCTATTACTCAGTATAACAAGATTCAGTAAAACACGGAAGCAAAGTACCGATGGCCATCTTTCCCCAAGTCCTTGAAGAATTTCTCTGCATATTCTACAGGTCTTCAGGTCTCTAAAGTTTCTTCATTTGCACCACAAGTGTCTACAACACAGATTAAACAACTTGTCACTGGGAAAGCACGGACTTTGGAGTTGGCTATCCACTTGTCTGTTTCAGTATTATACTCAAGAATGTGCCCTAATCTACCAACACCCTGAAAACCAGCCAGGACATAAACTATGGATCCCACAGCAGCACACTTCACTGTTACACCTTTCCAGGGCATTGGAGACACCATCTTCCATTCATTCATCTTGATATCGTAATATTCTACATTATCAAGGCCACCTAAAAAGCAATGAAATAGAGAACTGCTTACTACAGCGTACTGTCTAGGATGAACTTGAATACAGAATGCTACATAAAACTTTTTAATGTAAACTCTGAAATATATAACAGACAAAATCCTTCAAAGGAAAGGTCACAATTTTCTAAACAAGCTGTTACTCAGTCTTCTTTAAATACAGAAACAGATGGCAAGAAAGACTGAAAATGAGATGCACTGCTACAAGTTTCACATTGTAAAGATTCTAATGAGCTGTTCCACAAACTCAACAATGCCTGATTTCTCATGGATTTGTGGGTAGTAACCAAAAGTTAGGAATCCACCTAAAAAATTATCTCCAGTGAGGCCATTTCATTCTAGTTGGATCATCAGCATACCTTTACCTAAGTAGGTCACCTACTGATGAAACTTCAAATATAAACTTATATAACCTAAGTTACTTTTCAAGGGCCAACAGTTTCAGAAGTTATTAAGGAAACTACATTATGTGAAGTATGTAAGAATTTCTTCTTTAAGAAACAGGCTAGCAGTCACACTTCACAATATCCTACAAACATCTTATTATACTTTCTTAAAAATAAATGACTACAAGGCACAGAGAAGTTTTCACTTCCAGTCCTAAATTATTAGATCTGAGAGATTAATTTCTATAATCACAGAAGATACTTCATTCCAGACATAACTCTTTGCCATTATATTATATTAAGAACAATTTATCAGTGAAGTTGCAGAATATGAGCAGCGAAACAATATTTTACTTATTAGTTCAGCAACACATATTCAGCAAACACACTAAAACCTTGCAAAGTGACAGTTCTGGCTATAACTGTTTGATGAAGTGCACAAAAAATTATACATACTGATATTTCTGAATAGGAGCCAATCATGCTGGAATAGTTTTAGTGACTAATTAAAATACAAGCTATATTCTAGAACAGCATTAATGTGAATTTAGATATTCTAATTACCATAAATAGTAATTAATAAACCTCATAGCTGAGAACTTCCATTTTCAAAAGCACTTCAAAAAACCCTATGTAATTAAAATTGAAGTTCAACTCTCCTGGGAAATCAACTATCATTCTAGTTTTACGGATAAAGAGACAGACCATGACAAGTCACATTTCATTAATTAGGGCAATCATGAAAATTCTCTATTTTTCACCACTTGAAAATAGCTGATTAGCTTTAAATCTTCAGACTGAAGTTCCTAGAATAATGACTACGCTTTTACCTGTTTTGTTCAGAGGAACGACAGAGTCTCTTGAAATATACAGTGAAAGACTTAAAGCAAATAAACAAACTAGAAGATTGCCTTTTGTTAAGATATTTGACTTGGCTATATTAGTATGAATGCATTTCTGAATTTTACAGTACTAAGAGATTGGAAAACGAGATATAATGAAGTATGGAGGTGAACAAAGGAATGCAACAATGTCAGCAACAGAACATATTTTATAGTACTGCTCAAAGTTTTTCCAGCTGTAGAAAGTAGAATTAAGGCCCCAACAAAACTTTGCAAGTCCAGCTAGAGAATTTAGTGTAGAGAATTAGTACCTAAGCCATTCTGTCCACCCACAGCAAATATTTTGTCCTTTACAAACACCAGTCCATGATTCTTCCTGGCTTCAATCATTGGACACAGCTCAGTCCATCTGAAGAAACAAATGGAAAAAAACAAACAAAATCACAGGGAAATTCACTATTTGATTTCTTAAAAAATACATGTTAAATAAATCCCGGAGTTAGGAAAAAGAAATATAAAAGAAAGCTGCTGGATAAAGTTAACTTTTTAAGTAAAACTACAAATAGCTGATATATTACTGCTTAATTCAGGAAAATACCTTAATTACATACACAGGATTCAATTTATTGAATCTTAGAATCATTAAGATTGGAAAAGACAACTAAGATATCCAGTCCAATGCCATCCCATCCCCACTGACCATGTCCCCCCCCCACGGTTCTCAAACACCTCCAGGGATGGTGACTCCACTACCCCAACGGGCAGCCTGTGCCAATGCATCACCATTCAGAAGAAATTTTTCCTAATAATCAACCTGAACTTCCCTTGGCACAACTTGAGGCTATTACCTCTCATCCTGTCAGGAGATATCTAGGAGAAGAGGCCATCCCCCACCTCACCACAACCTCCCTTCAGGTAGTTGTAAAGAGCATAATCTCTCCCTTGAGCCTCTACTTCTCCAGACTAAACAATCCCCGTTCCCTCAGCCACTCTCCTAAGACCTGTGCTCCAGACTCCTCATCAGCTCCACTGCCCTTCTCTGGACACACTCCCAGGCCTAGCTGCCTTCCTTGTACTGAGGGGCCCAATTCTTCCTATTCATCTACATTACCATTTGCAGGGTGAACAAAAGCAACTGTAAGTATTCAGAGTTGACACAACACTTACGTTTCTGTGGCCGGATCATAAACTTCACAGGAATTTAGTACTCTTCCAGAAACATTGTTTCCCAAGCTGCCTCCACACACATAAATGAGACCATTCGCCTCTACCATTCCGTGACTGCAGCGTTGAGTCAGCATGCTGGGCTTTGTATGCCAGCTTTCTGTTCTCGTATCGTAGCATTCAAACAAATACAGTGCAGAATTTCCTTAAAGAAATAAGAAACCCACCAAAGTGGCATTAATTTTGATGGTTATCCTCCAAGAGAAGAGACTAACAGTAATTATCAAATTGGTGCTTTGTTAGTTGAAAAGGGAAAGCTGCTTTCCACCTCTAAAAACAGCTAACCAACTTGAAATTTGGGACTACTCAAAAAGCACATACTTGTAATTCTTTTCTTGACTCTTTTGTTCCAAAGGATGTGAGTTTATATATAAATAGCTGTTTGTGTTTGAAAACAAATACAAATGATACAGATTTATTTTGGGAGGGGCAGGGAGGGCTGGGGATAGAAAAACTGAACAAAGTTGTATATAAGTTACCTATCAAATTTCCATCATCTCATGTTACTCAGTACTGAGAAATGTACAGAACATGGCACCTGTTTTGTAAACCTAACAGATTCACCTGAGTCTCTAATAAGCAAAGTGACTCATGCTATTCCCAGAATATCTGGTGCTTTTGGGATTAGATAACTAAATTATGTTGCAACATATTCCTGAATTATTAACAATCACAAAACAGCTAACCTTCACCATTTGACTTTCTTCCTACTGGCAGATACTTGTATTTTCGCGAAGTGTGAGGTCTGTGTTGTCCCCTCTCATGGACCAACAAACTATTACTGAAATCAAAAGCAACTTTTCTAATGAAGGTAAGTGGGAGTGTCAAGACTTGTCCTTACATAACCAGCCATACTTAAAGCAGAGTAGACTGGGCACAGCTTTCTCAGAAAAGAACTAGGTGTGTTACAGTAGCTGCACTCACTGCCAGCTGGGGAACTGAGCTGAAAAAAAAATCACACAGAACACTACTTTTCCAGGTTCAAAAATACAGGAGTAGATTTCTGTGAACCGTGTTTGCTTACTCCTACCAAGGTGCTCAGAATCAATCAGAACTGTGGAATGAGACATTTTTTTCCTTAATGTACATACATATCCATTGCTTGGAAGCTGTACAAATTCTTATACAGAAGAAATATAATAGAGCTGTCTTTAATGTCTTTTTAGAGGAAAACTTCTGTTTCAATGCACTGTATGTCTGTAGACACTAGTCTAGTGGCTGGTGACCCTGCACACGGCAGGGGGGTTGAAACCAAATGATCATTGTGGTCCTTTTCAACCCAGGACATTCTGTGATTCTATGAATTACAGCACTTTTAAATTAATAGTTTCACATAATTGTTTGCTCCAGTTTAGAAAAATGTGAGAATCAATACAGACAGACTTTTCTAGACAAGCAGTATTCATCGGATTCCAAAGAAAAAATAGACTTGCAAAATAACCTGTTATTAATTTTTAGATTTTACTATTCTGTCTTAAAAATTTATTAAAAATTACTTAAAAAACAAAGTAAAACAGTGCAGTACAGCAAGCGTAGACCAGAAGCAACTCCGAAGTTAACAACACTGTAATGGTGATGTAACTAATTAAAATGCATTAGAAAATAAACTATCCACTGAAAGTTTGGATCACAATTCCTCATGATCTGGCATGTGGGGAAACTGGGAAGATCTGAAAGATTTTGCAGTTTTGTAGCATTCCAAGCCTTAACCTGTTGCAAATAATGGGAAAAGTGTTATGTCACATTTACCACACTAGGTGGCAGCTACAAACTATCTGCTGCTACATCAGACCTCTTAAAACATATTAGAAGTCAGATAACTTTACCTAAATGTCACAGCTTTCTATTAAGTGATTTATCAATTTTAGGTGCTCCTTATGACCCCTTTTTTTTTTCTCTTCACTTCCCTCTGCAGTGAGACAGAACTCAAGAGGAACTACTAAAAAATTTATCTGTAGGCATAGCGTTTTTTTGTTCTTGTTTAGTTGAGGTTTTTTGGGGAGGAGGTAGAACTTTAGAATTGTTTTGTTTTGTTTTTTTTTCTTTTTTCCTTTAAGCTCTGTTTCTATGGATATGGCATATTTACATTTCTACTTTTGATTTGCCCAGATGTATAATTTAGACAAAAATCAACAAAAGCTTGTTGTACTGCGGTACAATGTTTCATTACAGATGTTGTTTTTCTTTCCTGGGGTGGGGAGAATTCAATGGTCTTTATTCAACTACAATGAGTAAATGACGTCTAAATTCTCCATTACCGAAGCAAACCATCAGCATAATTAACAGAAGATATCTTCTGTCATTTGACAGAAACATGTCAGTTTACAGGGACAGGTATGATTTCACCACTAAAACCAGTCAATTACAAAGCTTTTTATCATCCCTTTTTTTCATTGATAATAAGAAAAACTCATCAGGCTCAACATATAAAGTGAATACCATAATGCAGCTATTCTGGCCATATGTCACGAAATTTTAAACCACATTGAGATCTGTGAATTTGTGTTCAGTAAACTAATAGCAGAGTGAGACTTTCAAACTGTATTTGCTCGTCCCTAGTTAACTCCTACCGTGAATAACACAATTTCAATCAGAAACAGAACACAACAGAAATAGGTTGTTGGATTTCAGGGAGAAAAAAATTCTAAATATGGGAAAATCAACTCATGAGGCTAACACAGCAGCGTGCAGTTTCTTTTCAATAGAGTCATGCAAAAAAACAGAACATTTTCCAGGTATCTTTGTTTGTGCTTTTTGGGGGGTTGTTTTTAAAGATTTTTAGTGTCTTACCCACTTCTGAACCACCAGATGTATAAATTTTGCCCTCAGCAGCACAGGCTGCAAGGCTATCTCGAGGTGTTGGAGGTCCTAGCTTGGAATACCAGCTATCCTTCACCACATTGTAGCAGTCCATTCGCTTTATAGGGAAGAGCTGGGAACCACCCAAAATATAAACTACGTTGTCCCAGAAGACACAAGCTGCATCCCTGCGCTTTTCAAAGGGACATCGGATGTCTGTCCAGCTGTAATCCTGCATTACAAAGAACAGGTAATGTCTAATAGATTGTAACACTTACCTGCACAGCGAGTGTTTTTCAAACAGAGCTTTTCATAGAGATCTAGATACGGTCAGTTTTAAATTTCCTTTTCAAAACAAACATGAACACTGTTTATTGAAGAATACTCCTCAGGCGTACTCTTGAAAAATTCACTTAGACACAGACATAGTTAGCTGCAATGAACCATGACATAATCAATTTCTGTTTCCTCATTCCCTCTGTACACCCAGTACAGCTTTCCTGAAAAACAGGGTTTTTTTCCCTCAACAGTATTAATGCCCTGCTGCTACCAAGTCAGAAACAATGCATGTAATCAGTAAAGCAGAATACTTTTTCTTTTATAGAAATGGAAAAAACATCTTACATATACTGAGAAACTCTTTCTCTCTAAGGAAAATAAATACAGAAAGTAAAACCAAACAAAGGCGATGGAAAAAGAAGATAATATCCCAAGTGACAAGCAACTCAGTTGAAAAGCTCCAGTACATACTTTATTACCATGACAACTAGAAGCTTATTTACAGAATTTGCAAAACACAAGTGATCTATAGCTATCCACAGTTGATAGCATGAGAAATGGTGTAATGCTTTATCACAAATACTGGCAGTCATGTTGCCTAGAAACTGCTTTTGCATGGGTTGGCAAAACCAGCAATTATCAAATATAGGCATTAATGCTACCCAAAGCCTTAAAAACACCAAACTCAGCAACTGATGGCAGACCAGGATAGCATACAGCACAAGAAACACTTCTTGAATAATTGCATCTCACATATTCCATGCCATCATAAGCATAGCTTTTATCTTATGCTGAACAGGAAAGTTTGGGACCTTAACTGTTATCTGTCACCTAAAGATGGTCTAGCTAAACCAGCTGCATGACCTTCATTGTAATGAATCACACAAGACATTACAAGATTACATTTTCTTGGCAAGGACATACTTCAAACACCTTGGTCAGTGAGGAAGAACAGCGACTTCTACATGGGGGTTCAAAGAAAGAGGCAGAGCATGTTATAGTCCAAAACATCTTACAATCTTTTCCTGTAGCATCCCCCTTAGCAAGAAGAGCTGGCAGGTGCATGTGGCCCTTTATGATGAGAAACGCGTCCTGGGGCATCCTAGAAAGGAAAGCCATACTACAGCATGGCAAAATAAATAGCTGCATAAATCTTAAGAGAAACGTCTCAGTGCTTTGTGCAAGATCATCATATTTTCTGGCTCAAATTTCCAGCATTTTTACCAAAAAAAAAAAAAAAAACCAACAACAAAAAACAACCCTGTGTTTTCCCTTACTGTCGTAAGGGCTACAATCTGACTCACTTCTGTGGCTTCAGTTCATAACTACCCTTTCATTCACACCTTTATCAAAGAACCACAGGCTCTCCCATGACCTGAACATACTCAGCAGAACCCGCCTCTTCCAGCATGAGGCACTTCGGGTCCTTCTCTTGGAATGCTCTTCAGTATTGGTCTGCACCATACAGAATTTATTTCAACATGACTTATGCATTTAAGAGCGGTTGCCTTCCACCACAGTCAAGATCCACACAACTCTGGGCAGTGGCAAAACTCATTTTGGGAAGAGGGCCATTAGGAGGAAAGAAAGAACAAGAAACATGGTGACAGTTTGCCTGCTGACCTTGGCTCTCCACAATTGCTCATGCAAGGACACCAGAAGCAAAAGCTCATTAAATTGTTTTTGAAAGGCTTTTTTTTTTCTTTCCTTTTTTTTTTTTTTTACAAAACCAAAGAAAAGCACAACTTTCATGAATTTAACTTGCAATGATCTGAACTGTTGTCAGCTACAAGACCCCGTGACAACAGCTCCTTATGTAGCTACGGGCAATATGAAAGAGTAGCTCAGTGTGATTAAAATGTTTTCCTCAATTTCAGTTGATGCCCTGAAAAATAGCAGACATGTCTACTATGGACAACCTTGCTATTAATAGCCTAGTATTGACAGCTCCTTATCTCCTCCTAAGAGGCATGCTGGTCTCTTAGTTGTCAAGAAATAGCAATGCCAGGCACCTGTTACATTTCCATTGGTGGATTTTGTATTGTTAAAAAGTTAGCACTACCAGCTACTTCTTCAAAAGTATATTCCTGCCTCAAAATTCCATAAACTCATGTATAAATTTTAAATAAGAATTCAAAAAGTATATATTTTTTTTCCAATTTGAGAATTTGAACAATTTTTTTTGTTTGTAATGTTCTGTGGAAAATTCAACAAGAAAACGCTTCCCAACACCACAAAAATGTCATCTCAGACTTTCTGTATAGTTCTAAAACCAAACATCTCTTCTCAAAATAGTGCCAGATTGCTCCACAGGAGTTTTATGCCCCAGACTGCATCTGTTCCATACTTTGCTCTCTTGAAGTACATGCATCAACAGAAGTATCAGATACAGCATAACAAGGACAACAAATATAGACAAAGTAATATTGTTAAACATTGACAAATAACACAGTCCATTCACCCATTAAAAAAAACCCTTTTTGACAAAGGAAATGAAGATCAACGTCAGAGACTGATTTTTGTGTGCAAAGCAATGTTACTGAAAATAATTTTTGCACTAGCCTTGCAGTATGAGAATTACTGAAAATTGTATCACTCAAACAAGACAATATTTTCAGGAGAAACAGTCTAAATTTGTCTTGAACCACCTCTTCATCTGATATATTAAATTACCGAATTTAATTAAAATCAAAAATAAAGGATTAGGTCACTATTCAGTCAGCTCAGCAGACAAAAAAATTCAATTCCTTCCTAAGGCCCTAACCTTGCAAAAGTACACATATAACCTTGATTTTTGGCACTGTGACAGCTCCATTATCTTTTGATGAGACTAATTAAAGCAAGCCAAACTTGTGATGTAGAGTCTTACATCCCACACTTCTTATTTTACATGCACATGATATTAATCCAGCAGGAGTTCTGGATCCTTGGTTTGTGGCATTTAAGCTACCATCATAGTTGAAGATCAAACTGAAATGCTCAAATATCCAGAAAAATATGTTTAAATAACTTAAAAGCTGTAAGTAAAATAAGTAAGAGTAACTGAAGAACGACAGACTAGCTAAGAACACTCAAGGAAGCATAAAAGCACTAGAAATAGCATTCAATGGAGACAATGCTGGTTTGTGGATGAAAAAAACCTAGTATTTTTCAAACACAATTAAAACCTCAAAAAAAGTCAACTGGAAGATTTTATATTAATGCATAAAGAGTGATGAAGCTACTAAGCCACTACTCCCACCTCTTCAGTTCTGACCACTGCTGACATTAGGCACTTATTATGGAATTTAATGTGGCAGTTAGGTTGGCAGAGACCAGTATTATCTATGCTGATAATACCCTTGCCAGCTAATAACTAGGACAGAAAGCCTCAAAGCTAGTTTCCACACTGCCTTAGAATAGCTTTGTTCCAACCTAAGTTACTGTAGATCAAGAGGAAGAAACATCAATCTAATTTTCTTCTAGTAGGAGAAGGGTCAGAGCATGTTGGGTGGATTACAACCTGTTAAAATGCCAAAACCAAATAACCATTTGAAGATGATGAATGCCACGATCAAAGACTTCCCCAGTTTAGATGTTGGAAAGAATTTACTGCTTCACAACAGGAAAAAAATATCTTCTCAGTTCCTCCACCCTCAGTTGGAGCACTATTTATATTTCTTACTTAAATAAGAAGGAGGAAGATGGACAACACTTAGGAATTTGGAATTCTCAATTAAAATACAAATTAAATGTCTCAAACTAAGTTAGCAAATCTGACAACTTTTTTGAAACTTGATCAGAGCTCAGATAAGGTGGCTTAGATTCTATTTTACATACAGGAATGCAAATTTGTATCAGATGAGTTCAAAAGAACGTCCCAAGGGTTCATTCGTCCTGAGTTACATCTGACAGGGCTCACACTGACAGTGTAGTTCACACAGCTAACACACTGAACTAAACTGTTTGAAACTGCAATGGACATTAAACGTGCTGAGTTGGAAAAGACAATTTTTTGTAACAAAATACATGATGTATCTAATTTCAGAACTTATCAGATCAGCACTGATACTTGAGTGGAAACTTATTTCTGTATTATTACAAATGTTGTCTGGTAAAACAGCATATGGATAGTCCTGCAAGTAGCTGATGTTTCTAGATCACCTGGTCCACACAGCTGAAACACAATTCCTGTGGCTTGATTTCTTTCAGAAAACATGGAAACAAATTCCAAGCAAATCCTGACTGATCTAAAGTGGTCATCTCTAAGGTTTTTGTAGAAATTCATTTTTTCCCCACTTCTGGGGTACTTGGCTCTCAATTCTCTTTCTTACATATTCTTAACTAACAGAATTGTAAACCATTGGATTTAGAAATGTTTACATATTTAATAAGAGTATCAAAACCCCTTATACTCTAAAACAGGTTCTACACTATTACAAAAGTCAATCTTCCAAATTACGCTAAGAAGAAATGTGCTCAGAGACTAACTCAAAGCAGTAAGTGCAAGCACATGCATATGGATTTACATATTCCAAACTGACTGCTCAGTATTTCTGTAAACTTTTATTTATTTCCAGCTATGGGATGCACAAACCAATAAATTCTGACTCAAAGGCATTTCAAAACCCTATATCTAACACTGGC